ATTCAATAAATATATATCAAAATTTAAACGTGTGTTTGAATGTTTCTTAAAAATTGGCACGAACTTTCTGGACAACCCAATACATTGTTGTTGAACAAAATTAATCTGTTTGTATTAAAATAGGATAGTACATAAGGCCTGTAGGGGTTAATTAAAATTAATTTCCTTAGACTCGATTATTCATTTTAATCACAAATATTTGATTTAATGTACTTCCGAAATATAAACTATGTAGTATTAGTGAAATGCAAGGGGTGAAAGGATTTTGAATACTAAAAGATGCCAGACAATTATTTGCAAGACTAATAACAATGACCACAGTATTGCTCCATTTAAGTGAAAATATATCTTTCAAAACATTACTTACTAGTCTCACATACATAAATACAAAATATTGGAAACCACGTTCCACCAGGATGTGATATGCTCGATCCTACCACTAGCATCGGCACTCGTCCTCTAATTTCTCGAAACATTCTTTCCAATCATCGCACATCATTCTCATAACCAACATTGGAAACCCTTCACTCGTAAATATACGAATTACGCAGTTCCATACTTGAAGCAGATCATAATAAACGATAATTGGCGATTAAGTCGCCCGTAATTCAACATAATGTTAGTCCACGTAATTCCATACAATCGTGACTCAAAACTTGGCGCATTAATATTCGCGACAGCTGACGCTGCAATTTTCAACTGTTTTCCTTTTTCCTTTTCGAAACTTCGTCGATAAAATTCATATCCTAGTCTCGTATTTCATTCCCAAGGTGGGCACACGTATCGAGTTCGCGCCGCGATTTTCTTCACGGTATCGAGTAATCGGTTAATAACAGACGATTAATTAAACCTATCGAGTTTCTCGAATGCCTTTTAATCGTGCATAAAGGTTTAATTGGAGGCTCGTACCGTGTCTTACGAGGATTCACCATTGGGAGCAATTTAAATTCAATCTATTCCGGATCGTCTGTGATCAGTTATCGGTTTGGTCATTCGATAGTTTATCGTCGAAATGTACGGTTCGATAAGAGCTGCATCAGCTCGTTAATCAGATCGTGCACTGATATTGGCGCTGCGACGAGAGGCGTGTTCAATTGTATTTCGCGCCTCTTCCTTGAGATCATAATTGTAGTACCTCTCATTGTCCTCAGTGTCGCCACAAATTTTAAAGCTTAGGGAAAAATTGTTTCCCTATACTCCGCAGTCTCGTAAACCGTTCGCGCGTCCGCGACCAACTTCATTCTTTCGCTTTGTGTCAGTGTCTTCACACGTATACTGAGTAACGAATTACAGAATATTATATTATGGGACGAAAAGATAGGAAGAGGACGTCGTCGATGGATGACGATAAGGAGAACGACAGACTCTATCGAAAAATTCGTAGACTAGAGGAGAAATTGCATCGAAGGAAGGATGATCAGCGTAAGTCAGGAGGTAACCCCATTTCTTTGGTCCGTGGGATAAGAGACTCTTCGAAACAGAATTTTGTAAATTCTTGTTTCGAGTACTGTATCGACACCCGTCGATTCTGGCAGCGGCTGTGTCGTTGTGCAGAGTGCTTGGCTCTTACCAAACGCACATCTTTCGTGTGACGAAAGAAAATAGTACATAAATTTAGGACGGCCGGGGCTTGTAACCTTTAAACGCGTCTTGGAGACGTGTGTGGCTTGTTTCATCAAACTTCACGTTGTTGATACAAAATGGAATAGACAGGTTATTGGAACTCGATTCGATGGTTTTCAGGTAAAAGTTCGGGGTTACGTAGTCGCTCACGCCATTGCCATAGTTCGAGACACTCGCTGGATCGTGAGATACCTCGGTCAGTATCTCGAGGACGCTCATCAGGAGGTCGACGCTCATCGAGTTATTCGAGAGATAATTTCGATTTTAGAGTTTTTGGTAGATCACGCTCTACTTCTCGATACACATCGAGACAGTCGTCTATTTCTCGGTCAACAAAATCGAGTCAATCATCGTGTATCTGTGAGATACCGGTTTCGAGGACCAAGAAGGACAGCGAGATTAAAGAATCATCGGCGGTCGAGACGGCGGAAGTTCCCGAACATGAAGTAGAGTTACAAGAGGAAATTTTGAACGTGTTTGGGACGCGCCTCGAGGCAGATAAGAAAACCGCCGCTGCGGTGCACAAGGACCTAGCTCTCCGGTGGTCGGAGGTTTTGAAAAAAGGTCTGCCGGAAGAGGAGGTCAACGCTCTGTTGGGGAAATACCCACCGCCAGAAAATTGCTTTTTTATCGGGGTACCGAAACTAAACGCCGAAATTATAGTTTCAGTACAAGAAGGCGTTATTAAAAAAGATCACTGTATTGTTGAGAAGCAAGAACGCATCGCCGCATGTCTAGCAGCGTTGGGTAAAGCGATCTCGATATCATTGAAGTTGGACAGTTCTCAGAAACTTGAGTTGCTGGAAAAATTAAGCGATGTAGAGAGACTTCTCGCATCGGTGCACCGAGAGGATTCTCTGGCTCGTAAAGGGCTTATTCTAGCGAGTTTGAATTCGTCCTTAAAGAACACTCTCTCCGACACTTCGGTCGATGAGTGGCTTTTTGGTACGGATTTAGAAGAAAAAATAAAGACGGCTAAGAATTTGGAACGAACATCAAAGGATTTGAGACCTGTAAGAAAACTTCCGCAACAGAGTAATGCACAAAAGAAGACAAAAAACTGGAAGGGCCCACCACGTCAACCGACGTTCAACAAATATCTAACGACGTCGAGCGGGCGTCATCATGCAGCATCCAACAAGACGGAGACAAAGAAGTCTGCATACCGCAAAGGATCGAGTCATCAATACAGGGGACCTCGTTAATCTGATCGAAAGATGTAGCTAAACCAGCAGGGAGGTTAAGATTATTTGGTAATGCTAGGTAAAAGGTAACCAAGGTCTCGATGATCCATAAATGGGTTCAGGGTATTGTGATACTTTTCACGTCGTATCCGAGACAAGACCGGCCTCCGGTCGAACCTACATGGTCCGAACACGAACATGGTTTAATCGAAAAACAAATTAATAAATTAATCTCTAAAGGCGCTATCGAGAAATGCTCTACGTCAAAAGGACAATTTTTGTCGACTATATTTTTAATTCCTAAGCCGGATAGTACATTCAGAATGATACTAAATCTTAAGGGACTTAACGAGTTCATTCACGTTGAGCATTTTAAAATCGAAAACTGGAAGGTAGCAAAGAAATTAATTTGTCGCAATAATTTTATGGCAACGATAGACTTAAAGGACGCCTACTATTTGGTTCCAATCGAAAAGAAGTTCAGAAAATTTTTACGGTTCTTGTATAAGGGAGAACTATTTGAGTTCACCTGTTTACCGTTCGGCTTAAATGTAGCACCGTATGTTTTCACAAAATTATTGAAGCCGGTGACAGCATACCTGAGAAAAAGAAGATTTACTTCTGTATTTTATCTCGATGACATCCTTATTATCGATTAATCGAACGAGAAATGTCTTGACAATGTTCGCGAATCTGTAACACTTTTGCAGGACTTGGGATTTATAATTAATAACGAAAAAAGTCGCGCGATTCCCACGCAACGGTGTAAATATTTGGGACTAATTTTTGATTCGGTAAAAATGTCCATAGAATTACCTAAGGACAAAGTTCTACGAACCGTCGAACTCACTCGGAAGTTCAGTACAACTACCCGGTGCAGTATAAGAGAATTCGCGGTTTTCGTAGGGACTTTAGTTTCGCGTTGTCCGGCGTTGAAATATGGGATGGTGTATATAAAACGGTTCGAAAAGGTACGAGCTTGCGCGCTTGAAATTAATAATAATAATTTTAACGCACAAATGTTTATTCCAAGAGAGTTAAACGAGGATTTTACGTGGTGGGAAGATAATATCCACTCCGCGAGTGCGCCAATAGATGAACCAGAATTCGAATTCGAAATATTTTCGGATCCTTCACGTACAGGGTGGGGCGTTTTCTGTAAAAACCGACGTTGTCACGGGTTTTGGAATACAGGTGATTTAAAATTACACATAAATGTCTTGGAACTTAAAGCGGCGTTTTTTGGATTAAAATGCTTCGCGAATGACGTACGACGAAGTAGTATTTTGTTAAGAATAGACAATACGACGGCAATCGCATACATAAATAAAATGAAAGATAATCGTCATGAGGATCTTAGTGCACTGGCCAGGGAAATTTGGCAATGGTGCGAACGAAGAGAAATTTGGATTTCGGCAGCGTATATACGTTCTAGTGAAAACGTCGAAGCCGATTACGAGTCACGAAGATTACAACCAGAAACTGAATTTGAGTTATCCAAGAGTGCATTTCAAAAGATCGTTAGATATTTTGGCATCCCACAAGTAGATTTGTTTGCAAGTAGAGTGAACGCGAAATGTAAACGTTATATATCTTGGCAGAGGGATCCAGACTCGATTGGCATAGATGCTTTCACGTTAGGCTGGAAAAAATGGTTCTTTTACGCGTTCCCTCCCTTTTCAGTAATTTTAAGAATGTTGAGGAAAATAGAACGTGAAGAATCAATGGGCATAGTAGTGGTACCATACTGGGAAGCCTAGCCTTGGTTCCCTGTTTTTCTATCATTATTAGAGGAAGAACCGATTATTGTCCAGCTCAATATTAATTTAATTTGTTCTTCCGGCAGGGAGGAACATCCCTTGTGGCAACGGCTTACACTAATTGCCGCCAAATTATCGGGGACGCGTTCATTAGGAGAAAGGTACCACTGGAATCGGTCAAGATATTGACAGCCTCATTATCAGAATCTTCGCTTCGCCAATATGAATCGGGCCTAAAAAAATGGTGGGAATTTTGCGCGGGGGAAGAAATTGACCCGTTTACAGGTTCCACAAGTGAGATGTCGAAGTTTCTCACAGTGGAATTTGACAAAGGAGCCTCGCATAGCTCGTTAAATGGTTACAGAGTCGCAAAATTAAGGCCAGCAGCATCGAGGTGTGACTCGACCTGGGACCCCCGAATTGTGTTAAAATATTTATCGAAGTGGTATCCCAACGATGAGAATAGCTTAGAACGACGAACGCTCACGCTTGTGACATTGTTGGCTTTAGTTACGGGGCACCGTATGCAAACTCTGTCGTTAATTGATACGCGGAATATTTATAGATCAAGTCAGAATACGTTGAAAATTAAAATTCCCGATACCATTAAGACTTCGGGCCCGGGGAAAAAACAGTCAGTACTAAGACTGCCGTTCTATTTACAAGATAAGTCCGTATGCGCAGCTTCAACGTTGTTGTCCTATTTAGACAGAACCAAAGAACTACGTAGGTCGGTAGTTAAGTTATTTATATCATTTAAGAAACCACACAAAGTGGTGGGCACTCAAACTCTAAGCAGGTGGATAAAGAGCGTTTTGGCTAAAAGTGGCATAAATGTTAACACGTTTTTGGCTTATAGTACGCGACACGCTGCTACATCAGCGCCAAAAAAACAAGGTGTGAACATTGATGTAATACGGAAAACGGCAGGTTGGTCGAAAGATTCCGAAACTTTCGCTCGTTTTTATGATCGTTGCGTTTCTTCAGAAACTGGACGATTTGCAGAGGCGGTGTTAGAATGTTAAGTCCTTTTACGAAAGGCAATTATTTTTAAAAGAATAGCATTGTATCTTGTTTTGAAAGTTCCTGGTTTGTTTATAAAAAAAAAAAAAAAAAAAAAATTGGTAAAACACACATAAATATATGTTATCGTGTCAATTTGTTGCCGTAACTAACTTTAAACAACTACAATTATGATCTCAAGGAAGAGGCGCGAAATACAATTAATGATTAAACGAACTTACCAAGTGAAGTTCAATCATGATTGTATGATGCGCCTCTTCCGAAGAGATCAGTCCCTCCCTCCCATGCATCTCAAGGGAGATACCCGGAATAATGGTTACGGCAAGCCTTTCAAGAATGAAGTTGGTCGCGAACGCGCGAACGGCGTACGAGACTGCGGAGTATAGGGAAACAATTTTTCCCTAAGCTTTAAAATTTGTGGCGACACTGAGGACAATGAGAGGTACTACAATTATGATCTCTTCGGAAGAGGCGCATCATACAATCATGATTGAACTTCACTTGGTAAGTTCGTTTAATCATTAATTAGCTGCGCGCAGCCGCTTATAGTATTAATTCATTAATTAAGTACGGGGGCCGTGGAGTACTTTTGCAAAAATAAACATTATTCATACTTATTGCTAATGGCCATTTATTCATAATACAACGTTCTCGATGCAGATGCGTATCCTGTTCGAGAAATTTATTTTATAATTAAATGCCTTTCGAAAGTCTGACTAATTACTAATTAAAAATTCATTTTTAATTAAAAGCTGCAGTTTTTATACATTTCTTTATCGCAAACGTAAATGGAAAAAAAAATGTTGAATCGAGGGTTATAGTATGAATCCCCAGGTTTTATTTCATGGAGTTTGGCTTTTAGACAGCTACGATATAAAATATTTCAACTTTTATATTTTATTGTGGAATCAATTTATAGGAGAAAGTCCAATTGTTTGAATTTGCAGTATTGTAATAAATTGAATATTCGATCCAGAAAAAGGATTGGAATTTTTTGAAATGAAAATGATAGTAGGTATATAAATTCGACAGTAGAGATTATTGGAAGCATATAATTTCGCTCGACATTTAAATTACGTTTACAAATATTGAAATATACCACAAGGAAATTCTCTGTTTCAAAAATTGCGAACATACTAGGGATTAGCGCTACAATCGTCCAGTTCGAAATGGTAAATACTAATACATGTAATACCAGTTATTAATAAAGTTCTATTTGCTAATACTAAACCATATTTACATAATAATAGCGTTCTTCGAAGACAGGAGTTGAATTCATGCTTACGAACCTAGATTTGCCTCTCTGATCGTGATTTTTAATGCCTTCGCGTGAGAATACATGAATGTATAAATCACAGTACTATTATGATGTATATGTTTGTATAATAAGCAGAGATGCTAATCAATGCTAATGCATGGTGATTATTCTTCTAAGTGTTTGCGATGTACAATGGAGTTTAAAATTCACAGGAATTAAAAGGAACGAAGTCGAGATATTAACGACCAATTTAAAGTAATTTCAGGACACGTCTATTATTCTACTTAAATTTAAATATATGTACATATGTTAACACTATTGTTTAATCCTATTCAGTTGTCAATCAGAAATATTGTCAATTCATGTTTTTAAGGACTCTGGCAGTAGCTTTCTATTCCTCATCTAGCAAACTATTATGTTCAAAGTGTTCAAGTTCAAAAAATTTTCTTTACTATAAATTAAAATCATTCCAAAGACATTTCATATTAGTTTTTAATTACAAGAATTATAATAATAATGAAGGCTTCGAAACTGTAAAACTAAAAATAGCACAGGAGTCTTTGTATTATGTAGAATTAATAGTATGTTTTAACCAAAAGAATGAAAATGATATTTTATTGACTTCCATTGTAATTCACATGAAGGTATGTCTTAATTTTATTTAGGAATAGTACTCTATTTTGCTGAATTAAAAATTCTAAGAGTGCGACGTTAATAAAAAATTTAAATCGAATAAAGAACATGTCTATTAAAAAGACATTGTGATCACGTTGATTGGCGATAGCTAATCAGTAATCACTATCCGCGTGACTTTTCACGATTCTGATAATTTGTCAAAGGTAAACGGGCATGTATCTCACGATTGGTTCTTCGGTATTAGTATACAAACGAAGGAAAGAAATTGTTAGAATTGTGTATTTACTTTCACTAAGCGGATGATCATTTTCGCAATAACCGTGTGGGAAGTAATTACTAAGTATACACCACGGTTCGGTGCGCCGCAAAAACAACGGTTTCGGTAAGTCTTGCGGCAAATATTGTTGGAATTAGCGGTAATTGTGGCCTGACGTGGCATAATATCAGTGTTTACGTCCAGAACCGAATAATTGTCGCGAGCGACAGGCCGTAAATTCGTGGACAGTTCCTTGAACTTATGGTTCGTGAAGGAAGGATGCCTTTCCTTGGTAACACGTTTCAAGGACTGAAGCTTGTTCTGGATTTTATTGCATGATTAATACTTAAAAAAATGTAATTTTAGATTGTAACAATCCAAGTCATTAAATTAAATATTAATTTGATCGATACACACATACAAAAGCTCTTCGATAAATTATTTCTTAACAAAGGTATCTGCGAAACATTATGAGAGGAATACGAAAATGGCACCAATTTATCCATTCAAAAACAACATCTGAGACATAATTTAATTTACATGTGACAAGTATATACATTGATATAAAAATGATATAAAAATTTTCCTTTGATTAGCGGACGGACTAATGTAATGTTGGTAAACGTGGTTTCGAAACGTGAAAATTAAATCTATACATAGAAGTTATCATTTCCATTGTATACAATGGAGATTAAACTCGAAGTACATTATTTTCTATGTTCAGAAGCTGAAATGAACGACCAACGTTAATTTTACCAAGAGCTTGAATAGTTCAAGGTAAAATAAGCTGAGAACACAATATCAGGCAAGCATAGTTGTATGATCTATACACAACTACTATATTGGAATTTGCATCGGAGCATAGTCGAAACTTCTCGTTTGCCTTAGAATTACTGGAAAAGCTTCCGACTGCAAGTTTAGACCAACACCGAGCAGTATTTCGCGAGTTGCACTAATAACAACAGTAATAATAGTAACAGACCTGCAAGGGGCAACTGAGCGCAAGTTATACATACGAGCATGACGAACCCGAAGACTGTGGCAAGCAGTCAGACAGTGGGCAACGTTCTTAATTAAATAGAAACTCGACTGAAAGATAAACAAATGAAAGATAAGCAGGTTTTGGTTCGTTATTTATTCGATGAAAATTGAAATTGAAATTGATATTGTAACTGCATTGTGATAGCATACATGAACAATAGATGGTTGTATTCAACTTGTTTTAATCAATTAAAAGTGTGTTCTTGGATTTTATATAAAATTACAGTAGATTCTCGCGAATTAAACAGACGAAGTGAAAACACAGGTAGTGAGTAACAAGCACTACTATTTCGAATAATAAGTACATACATATTTCTATCTTTTCTATATTTCTAAGCTTCCTTTAACATTAAACCTATCGAGGTTTCATTTGTACCTATTTCTACTGAAATCGAACAAATGTCTAGACTTAAAACAACTTTTTTTTAACTGAATGAAAAAATGTTCCACGTGGTACTAAACTGAATAATGCATGAAACAATTGTATATCATTTATATATCGTATATAAGCACTGTATAGAAAAGTTTGGAAACTTTCATTTGACCGATCGTAGTGGGTTTCGTGTTAATACTTCCACAAGTTCAGTGTACAAAAATTTAAAAAAATATTCTGTTATTTACACCTTATGGTATATAGCTACGTAAATTAATGTTTTACGTTCTGAATGTGTACTCTAGTTAGATTCTAATTTTTTTATAATAGTTTTAATTCACAATTTTGTATAAAATTAGTGCCTAGCACCCTCAAACAATAATACTTACCTTCATACTCTTAATATTGATGCCAGTACGACAAGAGAATCAAACTAAAATTATCGAAGCAACCCTAACCGAGGAGTTGAAACCTACACAGTTCTAAATAGCAGTAACTCACGCCTACATTGACTATTAAATTCTATTACAATGAAATTAGTGGTTCATTCAGGCTACGTTCAATACATCAATGCACGGAAGGTAGAACGATATCTTTTTGTCACGGAGTGTATCGCGGGCACAGGTCACATGGAAAACTACCAATGGCCGGCAAATAGCATTCGACGATCCGTCGATGCAGGTAACCGCGTTTCCCATTGCTATTTCCCACGTGTTTCCACGGGTTTCCTTCACCTAGTGCCGTAGGATGGAATTCCAGTGGTCCGTATCGACATCGGCGGAGAGTACCGTTCGTTTATCCCACTCGTGACCGGCCTACACGCGCCTAGAATGCGCTGAAATAATATGATTATGGTAATGGGGGGAGGGGGGGCAGGACAGAAGTAAAAGGGGAGAGGAGGGATTCTATTCAATTATTCCCCGTGGTAGCGACGCGATCGGCAATAATTATCGGTTACGCGCCATTCGTCTTGATCGGCATTAAAAGACGTCGCGTAACTCTTATTGTTACTACTAGCATCGACACCTTCGTCGTATGTCGTTTCCCCCTTTGTGCCCCGTGGCGGGCACGGGGAAAGAATGTAATTTACGGGACGATTTGTAATATACCGCTCGCAACGACTGTCCGACGCGAAGCGAGTATTCAAAGAGGAACGACAGTCGACCGGGGACAGAGCTGTAAAGCTGGCTGGAATAAATGCAAAAAATTCAGGCCAAACCCAGCTGGTCTTGAGACACTCCCACTTTCTTCCCTGGGAAAATCTGTATCGATTCAGATGGACAATCAACGATTCGCTGCGCTTTGATCTCGCAGGGTATTCCAGATCTAGCGCAAGAATTTAGAACGTGTGATACGTTAACGCGATCTCGGAGAACGTTACACTTTACGTGTGATAATCGAATCGTTTTGCAATATGAATGTACCTCGGGTGACGTCAAAGATTGCTACCAAAATGATTGATTATTTCTTTTATAGCTGAATCGATGAACATCGTCTCTGACGA